ACGTCCCTTGAACGACTTTTTGAGGGATGTGGGTCATATCAATACATTTTTGTATTAGACCTCCGCTTCAGCAGCGTCGACTTCTTGTCTCTTAAGTGGTCCATGTAATAAATACGCTCATACTTGCGAAATCAATGACAGAGCGATGTTGTTTCTGATAAACGGAACACGGTGGTACGACCGGTTCATTTCAGAAAACCACGTCAAGATCCTGTAATACGTGTATCATAATAATTTTCATTCCGGATATTGTTTTGAAGCTCGATAGCGCTAATTTGAAAACAGGTTCTGGCGATAGAAAGATATTTATTACACACGTGGAATGTATCGGTAGAAATCAAGAACCTTTGAGAAATGGAGGTACATGGTATAGATAGAAGGGATTAAAAATTTTTTTCAAATGATTATAATGAAAACGTTAATATTATCCTTGAACGATTGTCGAAATAAATTTCAAAGTACCAAACCTTTTTGTCTTATTGAGGGGTCTCAAAGTATTGATAAATTCAGCTGGGACCATTTTGTCCGGGTTGGCATTTGGGACCATTTTGTCCGGAACCATTTTGACCGGGACCATTCTGACCGGGACCATTTTGTCCTACACCCATGGGACGACGGCAAATCGTTCCGGCCTTCTGTTCTTGGTTGTCACACAAGGACGATTAGCGCCAAGAATGAACTTCTTCGAGGTGTTCCGCAAAAGGTCCTCCGGATGAGGTCCTCCGGCGTTGACGAGCCTAAGTTGCTGAAAATGAAAACTTGTTTTCAAACACTGTGGGCATGGCTTTGAAAAGGGCGACGAAAAGAGGGTTTTTACGATACCGTGTTTAACTGATTTAGAATGATTGCTAGAGAAAGGAAGCACGGGCTTTCTTGTCCTCTGCTGGAGGGACCAGCATAGACCCGGAGAGGAAAGGTGGAGGCGAAGCTTTAAATACTGTAGGCCCTCATGTGAAGGATCCTCTTCGGTAAAGCTGGGTCCAGACGAGTAAGACGTGAAGGCATCCATGATTTTAGTTAATGTCGCCTTAACGCATGCCTTAACGCAACCGCTAGCCTTGTACCTGCTCCACGAGTGGTAACTTTAGTGCGCTACTACGCTTCTCACGCGCTCAAAGTCGTTTTGAGAATGACTGATTTAGTGGTTTTCGATGACGCCCAACAAGTTTTAATTGAAACCATATGCCTATTTTTTACTAATTATAAAGTTAATTAACGAATTTTAATTAATTAGCCGACTGTTGATCGCAAAGATTAGCCACCCCATAATGTCCCCTTGGGCGTATAACTCACTCGCACAAACCGCATGAGTTAGCTTTCATGGCTTTTTTAAAACAAATCTCTAAAAATAAAAAAAAAATAAAAGTTTTTTTTTTTTTTTTTAAGTGGTTTCTTGAGTTCCTCCTGATCACGTCATAAAAGTGTCATGCTGTCGCCACTCGCGATCCTGGCGGAGCCTCAACAGCTGTGGTGTTGAGGCGCCGCCAGGCTTTTTTACAATAGCGTCCCCTTTTCGATAAACGGCATTTCTCTAAACTGAGGCTCTGCTTTCTCTAAACTGTGCTTCGATAAAACGTGCCCGTTCTCTAAAACGTGCTTCGACGAAATGGCATGCGCAGCGGGGGGCATGGCTTAGCACGCGCACCAGTGGTACACGCGAGAAGTAGGAAAGCCTTTTTTTAAAAAGCGTCCCCTTTTCGATAAACGGCGTTTCTCTACACTGAGGCTCTGCTTTCTCTAAACCGTGCTTCGATAAAACGTGCCCATTCTCTAAAACGTGCTTCGATGAAATGGCATTCGATCAACCGTAGTAAACCCGCTGCAGATCGCTCTCCAGTGTGGCAGATCACAGAAGTTTTGGCAGCCAGAAGTTGGGACGCTACGACGACAACGACTGGAGGCGTCCGTCATTAGATTGCAAACGGTCCCCATGGTTTGAGATGAACCCTCTTTTAAATCTAGGCTCTCTGCACATAAGATCCAGAATGATCCACAAGATGCAGAGAAGAGATTGATATTGATATTGATATTGATATTTATTTATTGCGTGCCCAAAAACACCATAATGGTTTTGACTAGAGCACTATATAGCTCCTTCGGAGCAGAGTAGCGCAATCTAGAACGCCGCCTCTCGGCGACTAGCGGCGAACGCCCGGAGGTTCCAACTGCGGTCAGAAATGCATGGAGAACGTGAGAAAATCGTTGTTTCTTCAGTATTGTGGGAATGTACGGAATCACAATTGTTTTTGACATAATAATGGAACACTTTAGAATAATTTGCGCTAAGTTTTGTGCCCCGCAAAGACCTGACTTTTTTTTAAAAAATTGCCTGAGCGGCATCATGCAGCAGACGACACGGCGACGTCACACCATTCACGTGACCCGCTCCGGCCAACCCAGAAAGCCCATCTCCGCTGCGAGCAAAACTCGTCTGCTTCAAACGCCATTGCCTTGGAAATTGCCTTCTCAAAATTTGCACACGCATCCGATATTATTAAAACTTTGATAAAGTGTTTAGTGCTTTACTAACTTCACGACAGACTAGTTTTGAAAAGTGTGAACTCGCCGTTCATTTTTTAATCAGCCGTGTTGTGTCGATCTCCATGTATTCTCCCATAGAACGGGCCGCCTCCTGGAACCCTGAGTACCACGTGACTCGCGCCGAGCCCACTGATCTCTATGACAATTGCTGGATCGCGTTTGCCCGCTCCGCGAATGCGGTCACTGGCGGCCATCTTTAGGTAGAGTTATATCACCTCTAGCCACTGTAAGCTGCTGCAGCCGCTATCATCCATCCATGGCATATAGCGTTTTGGCAGGTGGGTTGGCAGGCTGCGGTCAAAATAGCGTGGGTGATATTGCGTGCTTGATAAAAATTATTTGACGAAACATGTTTTTGAAACCCGGCGTGAACAGTAGTCCGGTTTTTGAGGACCTGGTAAAAGTTTCACAAAATCGCAGCACCGGGAGAAAAGCAGCACAGCGCGTATCGAAAGTCGCATCGAAAGAAGCATCGAAAGCAGACGACGGTACGGAGTCTGCTTTTGATGCGAGCTGCGCTGCTTTCCCCCGGTGCTGCGCTTTCGTAGAACTTTTGCCGGGTCCTCAAAGATGAGGCTACCGTTCACGCCGGGTTTCAAGAATCTGCTTCATCGAACAACTTCAATCAAGCACGAAATGTCACCCACGGTACAGTGTACTAGATCTACGGCTATTTTTATGGCAGCCTGCCGCCATTGCGCTGTCCGCCATATTACTATGATGGCTAGAGATGATATAACTCTACCTAAAGATGGCCGCCAGTGACCGCATTCCGGTCCATAGGAGGAGCTGGTCAAACGCGATCCAGCAAATAGACATAGAGATCAGTGGCCGAGCCGCTCTGTCGGCCATGTTGTCGGCAAAACACGAGGTTCAAAGGATTGCGCTACTCTGCTCCGTAGGAGCTATATAGTGCTCTAGTTTTGACATTGGTGCACACACTGATCTCAATGACAATTGTCATAGAGATCAGTGGGTGCACAGCATAGAGTTATTATAATGTACGCTAGAGGTTCAAGTGGCGCTAGTGTGCTGACGCAAATTGAAGCAGACAGCAACCAGTCTAAAATTGACTTCCGGTAATGCATTTCTATGGGAAAAAGTGAGTGCATTTTCTCTCTGCGCTCGATCATAAGAGCAAATATCCCGAATAATTCGTACGTACTAGGTAGCTTGGAACATTTCTCAGTCAGGCTGACGAAATAATTGGTCAGTTACGGTGTTTTTCTTTCAAATTCATCGCATTAAAAACGGTGCTAAAACAGCTTCGTACGTGTATTTATGTGCACTGTCGGACACTGTTAGCGCGAACACGACGTCGGCGCTTTTCAGCGTGGGGGATATACGTGCCAAACGAACGAAGAACATCTGGAAATTAAGAAAGACGGCAAGAACTACGCAGTAACACCGGATCAGTAACTACACGTGCATATACGATCAAAATTAATTGAAGGCCACGTAGTCTATTCCTATTTTAAATAAGTAAGTACCGTTTTATTCTTTCTGCTCTGAGCGAAGCTGCTTGTTCTACGTTCAAAATATCACTCGCACGCTCGAAATCTCTGAGAACAAGTGCCCGATAAAAGCTGTCCGGCAGAGAAAACAATACGAAGAGACAACTTTTATAGCCCACAGACTTCATTCTCTACGTTTTGAACGTTTTTATCCGCTCATGCACGACGCACGACGGGGTCATTTTTATATAGTGACAGGACTGGCATATTATCAATATATAAGCGTCAGCGGATTGCTGGCGAGCCTTGAACACACTCTATATACATTCCTTTCGATTGTAATTTTGCTTCGAATCGTCGCTTGTTTTTACACACCTGCTGCGGAACACACGTTTGGGACTGAAATGTAGCGAAGTTAAACATCGGTCACTGATGAAGAAAAATGCGCTAACTAAAGCAATTACACTTTTACAGTGTTAATCAATGTACATTCTATTCGGTACGACCCAAATAACCAAAGTGTTCCGTGTTATTTTCCGGCGAAGAGACAAAATGCACGCGCGCTTTCCCATAGGAATACACGGGAAGACTGGAAAAGTAGACTGGTTGCTGTCTGCTTCAATTTGCGTCACGGAAGTCGCATAGACACTAGCGCCAGTTGAACCTCTAGCGTACATTATAATAACTCTATGGTGCACAGAAGTCAGATTCCTATGAAACATGCAAACATATGAAAACCACAATAGTCATATTAGAACAGTCAGCATAATAAAACAGTCGTAACAAAGTACATAAAATACACATCAGGTGTTAAAGGTAAAATAAGGCATGAAAAAAAAATCGTGCTTTCCTTTCGATAGATGACTACCGCCATCTATCGAAAGGAGCCAAAAGATAGCGTCTTTCCCGTGCTGATTATCTTGTTTTCTCGTTCTTCTGACTCCATTACCTCGATTGCTTTCATCTGGAGAAAGTGCGGTCCCATTCAGAACAAGTGAAAGAAAAACGATGCGTAGAGCTCATAGCGTGGAAGAGGAAGTAAAAAAGACCACTTCCGCCACAGTTTCGATCACGTGACCAACGTCAGGTTCAATGTGGTTCCGCTTGTCGCGCGTAAAGCCAGGTAAAGCCGTAAAGTTTGCCAAAAATGTGATCGTGGATTGTATGATACCTTTCATCTTGTGTTCCTTTTGAGTTTCTAGACTCATGCTTAATCATGCCCGGCCGATACTGTTCCGCGAAGTGGTGTAACAACTCGAGCCGCCCGAGCACCTTGACGGACAAGTCCTTCCATCTCTTCCCCCAAGACAGCAGGTAATAAATACGGTTTAGTTTTCTTCCTCCGTGCCTGATTATCTGTCGCAATTAATACAACCGCGCGGGGCCACCGGCTACGCTGTTGGGGGTCAGTGGTTGCCCACAAGTTGTGGTGGAGGGTATTCAGAAGCCCATTCAAACCTGTGCCAAAAAGAAACGCAGCGCGCGCCAACCCCCCAAGAATGTTCTCAAACAATGTCTCACTGGACTCTGTTTGACCGTGTATTATTCTGTGTGATTCTCGGCATCTTCCTTCTCCTGGATTGAACCTACATGTTTCAAAAACAACAAATTCTTGACCTATACGGCCGCATAGTGAAGCGCAGTCAACAATCTGCAATCTCTCCCCATCTAATCCCAGTATCGATTACTGTTATGTTATGTATTTAGACTTTATATACATTATGTATATAGTAGGCATAACTGTTCATAGCAGACCTGGCTGGGCTGGCTGGGCTCGAACTTTTTGAGTGAACATATTCTGCCGCACTCTAGGACAGGAAAGAGTCCTGCAGAATTGTTATGAATCGAAGACTGTACTGCGCTGGACTGGCTTCACCCAGACCTACGAACAGAGATGTTATACAAGCAAGAAATACTAGCGCTGCGGGGAAGACAAGGTGTAAGCGAATTTGAACCGCAAGAAACCGTCTCGTCTGCAATTATCCAGCAGGCCGCAAGTGGCTACCTGGTGTTGTCACTGAGATCACAGGTCCGGTGTTGTACAAGGTTCGCATTATCGACGGTCGTTTTGGAAGCGACACATAGACCAAATCCAGAGTTGGGAGTGGAGCATGCATATGGTGGAGGAGCTGCAACAACAGCAGTGTCCCTTATCATGCGAGCCACGACTTTTGGATGAGCCAGTGGAAAATTGTCCGCTCTCAACGAGTAAGGCGGACTTTTCCGCGCAGCCAGCCACTTCAGAGGAAACGCCAGTGGCAACACCTTCCCCACAACTTTCGCCTGCTTCAGAACCAAGACGCCAGGCAGTGTTGCCAACCTCAGCGCCCGTGCAAGAACGGTCGAGTTATTCCCAGCAACAGCAGCAACGTCCTAACTATGTGACCTGGGGGGAGGGATGTTATGTGCTGGCAATGGTGAAGACTGCCACGAAGCGGGATGTGTTCGTGCTCTCGAGTAGACTCTCGCTGATCCAGCCCAGCCACGTCGGCTATGGACCGCTATGCTTGCTATGTAGATAATGTATATAAAGTCTAAATACATAACAGTTACGTTGTATACAGTTGCTTGGTTCTGGGGCACCTAAGAACATCAAACTGTAAGGAACAATTCCTCTAGCAAGATGAGTTCATCCTCACGCAGTATTTTGAGGAATGTATATGAACTGTGTTTTAGAGGAACAATATGAACATTATGACTGGGAAGTATCTTGCTGTTGCTGGAAGTTTTATTTAAAGTTTTAGTGCTCAGAGGACCTCATCTTGATTTGATTTGAAGTTAACAGTGTATGAAAATAAAGCTCTCAGGTTACCTTTCCACATCGCTTTTTATGGGAACCAAAAGCACTTCTCCTGTTATAGCCCCTTCCCCTTAGCAAATATTGTGTGCTCAGTGCACACTCGCAGAGCGGTTTCCTGCACCCCTCACAGAATGCAAGCGATCTCTCCATGTGCCGCTTGTACATCCGGAGCAGGTGGAGCACTCGCCGAGCATCTCCAACCGATCCGCAGGAAAGTGGCGGGCCGTGTCGGGCGATCCGGTGAAGTTCTCTGCACTACTTGCTCAGGAGAAGTTTGATCTGTAGTCGCTTGCAGCATTTCGGTTTCAATATTTGTGTCAGTGTTGGTATCACAGCCACGAAAGCAATTGCACCAGCGGCACTTGATGATAGAAAGTTGTGAGAATATTGGAGGGATGTGTTACTATTACAAGGTCAGTTACGTGTTGTTCGAAGGTCGGCGAAGTGGTACGACGCGGCACTGAGGTGTCCGTGTTCTCGCCAAACAGCCGGAGTAGCAATCAAGATGCGTAAAAAGTCGCTCTTGCTCAGGGGTATGCTTATTATTCCCTCGGAAGGGCACGTCGATCAGTTGCCTCATAAGATAAGGCAGTACATGCGAGCTGCGCTCAACCAGCACGCCGACTTTTGGGCTGAACGTGGGCATTGTAGGGGCGGTGGTGGTGGAGAGAACAGTTGGAGCATTGCTGTAGCAGGAGCACTGACAGCCTCACAGCGGAAAGGTCAGCGAGCAGAGCAGCCCCGTCGGCTGCATTGCTTGATCGCTCCACCACCGAGACCTGATGCACCAAGTCCAAAATCTGTGAGCGCTCGCCATTTGCAAGGGAAGCGGGCTATTAGTTTCATTTTAAATCTTGCTGTACTCTGTTCACCCCCTAATCTGATTGTGCTGTGGGAGGTGCGCACTTGCCGGACCAATTAAGTGCCTCCCTTTCATCACCTGACCGCACTCTCCGCACACAAGTATGAGCAGGAGCGGGATCACAGGGAGAAAGATTGACGCGCGACGTGTGCAAATGGGGCACGTAGCTTCCACCGCACTGTCAGCTTAGGGGTGAGTAGAGTATAGCTCCCCACGTGTAGGGTAAGTAACAAAACTTACCAAGTGGCGTTTCTGTTCGCTGCAGGTACCCAAAGTGGGTGGCCTACGCCAACCTGCAGAAAGACACCCCCACGAAACGAGCCAAGGGGCGTTTTCTTTGTTCCGACCACTTTGAAGACTCCGCTTTTTTCTCTTTGTCTGGAGGAAAGAGACGGCTGCTTCGTAATGCAGTGCCTTCAGTTCCCGTCACCAATCCCAGACTGCGGCAGCTTGTGCCACCAGGTATGTTTGTGTCTGGCTCCATCCGTAGTGCAAAGAAATTGAACTCTGATGCAAGCGAGTTCGATGAGGTTCACTGTCAGTGATGATGTTGCAAGATTGAGGCCTATGAAAAAAGCGGAAACAGCTTGTCTTTTACAGGGTGTGTTTTTCTTGCGAGACCGGTAAATGCAGACCGTGGCTGGCTGCGGTCCCTCTGGGATTTATGGATTGATTAAAAGTGTCGTCATTGCAAGTTTCAGTCGAAAGCTGTGTCGGTGGTGTGTAATGAAACAAATATCTCGCCATGTATTTTTAATCGACACCTATTCAAGTGGGCAAAATTTGAATTCGTGGGTGGAAATTCCAACTTCTACACCGCTTGATGCTTTGCGTTCCACTCGTTTATGTCCTGCAAATTATTCAAAACTAAAGGTATGGTGCTCGTGCAGCACAAGCTGTCTTGTCCAACGTCAGTGCCATCCTGGCTGCAAGCAAAAGATGTATGCATCGCACAATGCTCAGTGGAACAGTCCAGTGGTGCCCAGTCAGGCGACACAATCGCCTTTTGCCCCAAGGTATTATTTCAAGTACCCCTTGAAAGAAAAAAAATAAACTGATTGGTTGAAGTGAGGGAGGCTGTTCACTCTAGGTAGAAATTGCAGCTGGATTGTGGACACCGAAGTAACTTCGTCGGCTTGTCGATCATCGCTTATAGCCCCTGCTAGAGCATTGCACGAGCCTACGTTTTTAGGGTCAGCCCGGACCCGGCCCAATAGGATGCCTACTTGATCAGGCCCGGCCCGGGTCCAAGGCGTGAGCCTCATCACTTAAAGGGGCCCTGCAATCATATTTAAGTGTCTACCTTTTTTGCGGTTTCCACGTCTTTTGGGGTTCGGGCAAGCCAGTGGACACGGAGAGAGTAACTAAGTATCAGTGTGTCATATTTTAACCAAACGACGCGGAAACCTCCTCCATCGACGAGGGCGACCCGCGTTGCCGAAAGCGCGCAATATGTGACGTCTGGTCCTGGGCTTACTACTGGTCAGAGCCGCTAAAAGCTTTTTCGTAGTCGAAATACAAAATATAAGTGTCACGAACCGTTTCAATAGTGTATGAAAGTAGTTTTTGTTCGGTATTTTTGATCAGAAAAGAAACAAATGCGGTTTATAAAGTACGGAAACAAGAAAAGATCCATCGACAAACCCGCCACCAAGCGGCGGAAAAAACGGCGCATACCAGAAAGGGCTAGTGGAATAAGGCTCCGACGAACGGTGAGTGTAGAAAGGTCACGGATGTACGCGGCGGCGCTGCGGTCGTATACCGGCTCGGGGATCTGAGCGTTCCGAAGGCTTTCGGCGCGGGCTTGGCTAGCGATTTGGCCATTTGGTGGTATGGCAGCGCGAAGTGGCTCCCATTCTGAACTGATCTTTACCCCATATTTGCTGTCGTTTGTGGTCAATGAAGTGTTATGCCGAATTAGTCTTTAATCGTGGATCAAATGCAATGCGAACCGCCGTGGCCGCCCGCTTCATACGGCCTATCCAACACGTGCTTTAGTGGCGCCCTCTCGAGCCGTCGGCACGGAGTGCGGCAGCCGTGAATGCTCGATGAGCTCACTACTCCTCCTCTAGTTCACGGCCACTCAAGCCAGGACCTAAGACGTCATGAAGGAAGTTATTTTTTGCTTGTTTTTGTCATTCTAATTTGCCTATAACTTTTAAAATAAAGCGAAATTTGAGAAAAGAAAAGTTTCTTTAACTTACTACGTTCGGCGCACTCAGGTTCGGTGCAAATTAAAAACCAGTCAAAAGCTTGTTGTAGGGCCCCTTTAAATATAAAGATGCCCTGGAAAGATGTTGGTGCATTTGACTCATTTAGCCTAGTTTGTATGGCAGACACTGTCATATCGCAATCACGTGGTGAACCTTCGAAGCTTACACAAATATAAAAAAACATAGCTTATATTTTGTAGGCAGAGGGCATTTTTTTTCTTTCTTCAAGGGTCTCAAAAAGAAAGGGAAAGACAATCCTGCCGTCCCCTGTGACCGGATTGCCTTCGTCGTCATGCCTGCTGACAGCTGTGCCACTGTGCTGATGAGATCCCTAGGATTCTTCTCTGTATCTTCTTGTGGGCTTTCTTAGTCCAAGACAGCTTTCCTTGTTTCTAAGATTTTTTAGCGACGTGGTAGCGAGTTGGCACTTTGTCTTTTTTGTTTCTTTCAAATTTAGACGATGGTTGCATTATCGTTTTCTTAATGTTTTAGAAAGTGTGGTACATCATTGCCCAAGCCCGGCCCGGACCCCAAAAATAATCCCTGCTACTCTGCCCAGGCCCAGCGTGGGCCTGGAAACAATCTGTGCTACCCGGCCTGGCCTGCAGGCTGTCCTGGGTAGAACAGATTGTTTTCGGCTTTTGGGTTGGCCCGGCCCCATGCAGAGCTCTAGCTCCCACCTCGTAAGAAGGTGCATGGGTGACTGCCGAGACTGTCGTAATGGTTGGATGGTCTCAGTCGGCAGGCATCTGCGTCCTTACCAGTGGGTCCATCCAATAACTGACAGTTGTGGTGATCACCATTGTGCAAAGTGGTGGTGATGTGCTTAGAACGCAAGGGCTGCAAAGTTGCTGCGGTGTCTACAATTCAGCTGCGATTCAGGTCTTGACTGAGGGGCCCCGCCTGCCCGGGGTGAGAGTTGGACAGTGTTCATCACTGCGCTAATTGGCCTCGAATGCCAACCCGAACATTTTCCACAAACATTGATTCTTACCGAGCAGTCGACTAGCGGCATAGCACTCATGTCCAACTCAGGAACTGGACGTAGCCAACATGGTTGAGAACCGCGGATACGTCTCGCTGAAAAGGTAGGAAGCTTTCCATAGGGGAGGAATGAAAATATAGTTTGCTTTTTACTTTCAACTTTTGACAGCGAAAAACAGGTTTATAACTGTCTGCCCTTGTGTGCAGTTTTATTTTGTCTTGCTAAGTGGTGTGCAGATGCTCAAATTAAAACTACTATTGTTTCATGTTTTCTTGTATTTGTGAAATGCAGCTAAGTTTGCATTATTTCATTCTGAATGCTCTGCCTAAAACCTACGAGTTAGGGACTCTAAACAGTCGTGAGCATGCCACACCTAAGGAGTCCTGAAATGCTATGTCCAATTTCTAGACCTTAGACAAGGACGAGGAATATTCAGAGCAGTCCAGTCAAGTGCGAGGAAAGACTGTGTGTTAGCACTGGCGCCAAAGGAGAACTATAGGGATGGCGAGCGTTCGAAAAAGCGCCTTTGGCGCATTGGAATGCAAGGAGGGGCACGCCAGTCGACGGGGAAACAGAGATTGTGCAGAGTGCACGCGATGACGAGGCAGTCAAGCGCGCTCTATCGTTGGTTGATGTTGGGAGTAAACAAAAGCAGGTGCACGCATCTGGAGAGTAAACAAACGCTCTGGAGAGTAAACAAATGCACAAGGTGCACAAAGAGCAGACAAACTTGCACTCCATATAGACGACGAAGATGACATCACCACACTCCTTGACTGGATGTCCCATTATGCACCGTCCTCTCCTTCATAAATATCATGGAAAGTGGTCCGCCTTTCTAAAGTTGTGATCTCTTGTAACTGCAGGGACACTGGCGCTGTCTGTCCGATGGACCGGAAAAAGTTCTAACCCGTGTACATATTTCTACAGCTTTTTATGCATAATTTTTTCCCTGTGGACTTGAAATAATTTTTAGAGTGTTTAAGCAATTATTTCTCGTAAATAGTCTGTAGATTTGATCTCACAAATAGGGCGAAACCTTCAGTCTGGTTATCTGCAGGTTGGAAGTGTTAGGCCTACCTGATGGATGGCACCGGTGTGCCAGCGGTGACGAAAGATCACAAAACTCGCGGCACAGTCAAACATAGATGCGTGAATTAGCTCGTATCTCGTGGGTTTCACGTCCAACGTATGTTGCAGCTTAGCTGCCCCTAAAAACAAATGCTGTCTTTGCAGAGTTTTTTTGCTCCTCGGGGTCTGCATCCAAGCCAGATGAAGTAGCAACTACAGCCCGGGCAGTTCCTCCCGGACCTCCAGAAGTGTCAGCCGTGACTCCGGAATCGTTGGGCGTTTTACCAGAAGAAGCACAAGCTGCACCTACAGAAGTGGCTGCTGTGGATTCGAAGGCTTCGTCCGTCGTCCCAGGGGTGTCAACTGTGACTTCAGAAATACCAGTTGTCGCCCCAAATCTACCAGCCGTATCTACAAATGCAGAGGTTGTGTCTCCGGGAGTGCCATCTACGGCCCTGATAATGCTAACCGTTCCTCGAGAAGTACCGACGACGTCCCTGGAAGTGTCGACTGCGGTTCCAGATGTTTCAGCCGCGACTCCAGGAGCACCAAATGCGGTTCCAGAAACGCGTGCAAAAGGTGAAAATGAGCTATGGGTAGTACTTTCCTGCTGCAGTGTAGTGTAGTTCCCATGAGTCGTTAGCTATTTCTGTATAGTGCAGGGAGTTCCCGAGAAAAGAGAACCGTGTTGTTTTTTTGGCCCGGGTAAATAACCTGTACATTGCAGGAAGCTGGATAGAATGCAAAAGTTAGAGAAGATGACATTGCTTTTATAAAAAGAAATAACACTGTGGGTGCATATAGCATTCATTTCAGCAAAAAAAGACATCTTGGCAAGGAAGATGATGTTTTTTTACTCGCTGACAAGTTTTTTTGTTGTTTTTTTCTACTAAAATAGATACTGCAGGGGCCCACATTGTCATTTGTTAAAAGTTGATGATATTGAGCTTAGGTGGACATTGGCTTATAGAGAAATTTAATTTTTCTCAATTACCTTTTGATCCAGGTGACGTCATGTTCTCAAACGTTTGCGTTTTATCCCAACCGCTAGCGTCACATTCTCACAAAGTTTGAGCTTCCTGCGATGCCTGGTTTATTTAATCGAGCCGAAGAATGCTGTTCTCGTTCTTCGGAAACTCCCTGTAGATACCTACGGGTGTCATTTTGGTCACCGTTGTGTTGGCATGTGCTGCTAAGCTCGTGCAGTCCAAGTACTTGATTTGACAGTGTCCGGCAGCCTACTTCTCCGAAAACACCAATTTGCAGCACGCAAAAGCAGCCATCGAGCTGCCAGAAGGGTGTCGCACGAACGTATTGTCCGAAATAAGATAAAAAAACGAAAATTTAACAGCTTAAGAGCAGATTGTACAGAAAGCACCCAGGAACAGCGCTGCGACTGCTGTGTACAGTGAGTGGTTGACATTATTGCAATATCTGCCAAATTTCGTCCGTCGATTCCTTCGGCCTTCCCACCTTTCAGAAACAAAATGCTTCGATTAAGTTGCGAATGACACAGCCATGACATGATCAGTACTTCTCCTACACTAGTAGAAGCAGGGCTCTGAACACGTAGCACACCAAAGCTGCTGGGTGATGGAAGCGGATGTGCCTGAAGCACACTTTTTAACGTGTATACGCGAGTGGTGTCTTGCATGCGCTAGGCGGACCGGCTGGCGACGGCTTCGAGAAACTTTACGAATTTGCCAACACCTTGCAGCTGGCAAAAGCCACACCGTCCTCCATCATCGGTGGCTAAGCGTAACATGAAACCTTGCAACGTCGGTGCAGTTATTGTTCTTCAACAAGTGTTTGCCAGACAAAAATGCGGGTAACGTGCAACTTTAGTGCCTCGCTTTGTTTCAACTTCCCCCCTGGACACTTTTTTTTTTTTTTTCAAGACTTTTATTTTGAGTTATCTCAAATACAGGGTGCAACGCAATTAGCACAAAAAAGTCGTTGCTGGTTTTTTTTTTCTTTTCTTTTAGGTTTTGAAAAATGTTATCAAAACCACTATGGTTGCTCACAGAGTGACAATGGCAGGGTGTGCCTTTTTTTAACGCCCAGCCTCCAGCGCGCACTCCGTGCCTTCTGCCTTGCTTCAACTACTTGCGCAAGCTCGAGGAGCACGAGACGAGATGCCGAAGCATTGTCCAAGGTAGAAAGCACACTGGAGAAGGGACAATTGAACCTATTCCCTGCCATACTCACCTTGTCAGTGACTATGTGCAGTGGGGTGGGCTTGTCCAGGGCAATGGCTTTGACGGTGAAGTCTGGCATTCGAAAGTACTAGATAGGAGTAATATGGATGGCAGTTGGCTTGTAGCGTTGCCCTTCAACCGGAAGGATGAGCAAGAGATCTAAATAGCTCGAGCAATTCGATGCAGCCGAACCGTCCCTTGTAACGACCAATATAAAAAGACACAGATAAAGTGAAGCGTAGCTTTGTGCTCGTAATACTAATACATAAGTGCATTTGAGGTACAACGTAGCGAGCGATCTGACATGGAGATTGTCCCCGATGAACTTGACATTTCTATGGTTAGGTTCTACTGCAGAGACGGATGAAGCATGTGCAGGCCCGAAGAGCGATGTGATGGCGAGTTGTGCTGCGGCTTTGTGGTCATGGTCTAAAACATTTTTCTTGCAGTGCGCACAAAGCTGGTTTCTGTGCGAAATTCCGAGACACCCGGGGAAAAGACCATGCGGCGTAAGCGCCCAAGGGACCGGTCCGTCGGAAATCCCAGCGTCCTTAGCGAAGGAATGCTGCGTTGTGAGTTTGGTTAAATACTACTTTAGGTTATAATAAAGGCGATAGTGATTATTGTATTGATGTACACCAGGGCATACCGTGAAATTCTGAGAGAACGCCCGCCCCAGAGAGATTGCCCATCCCGTTTTTCTGACTAAATGTCTGAAAGACAAAAATTCCGAAACTTCGCCCACCCCCGGGTTTCCGTCGGACGTCACGCGATGTCCGTCAGGAATCGCATTTGCGTGCAATCTGCTGTACCGGTACGTCTGATAAGCGAGTACATAGCGGGTTCTCACGTTTTTGTCTGCAATCTGTGCATGCAGTATCGGCTCCCGTAACACACGAGTTGTTCCCGCGTGTATATTTCATTGCGAAATGCACATGTGCTGCGTCCGCGATCTGCGGTATTTGTTCCCGAGACGAGAGTTTTTTGCAGATTCCCACGTTTTTATCTGCAACCTGCACGCGCGATACCGATTCCCGTAACACACGAGTTGCTCCCGCGTGTATATTGCATCATGAAATATGATTCCGGTGCATCCGCGATCTGCGGTATTCGTTCCCGTGACACACAAGTTTGTAGCGGATTCCCGCATTTTTGTCAACGATCTGCGCGCGCGATATCGGTTCCTGTAACAGCCAAGTCTGTAGTGAGTTTCCGCATGCTGATTGCGCCATAAAACGTGAATCTGCTGCGTCCGCGATTTGCGATATTCGTTCCCCTGAGATGCGAGTTTCGGCGGGTTTCCGCAAGTCCTTCGCACAGTGAAACTGGAATCTGCTGTGTCCGCAACTTCCTTTCCCGTGACGCAGGAGTTTGTAGCGAATTCCCACATGTTTATCGCATGATAAAACTGGAATTTGTGATGTCCGCTATCTGTGGCACCAGTTCCCGCGTCACGTGGGTCGTAGTGGGTGCCCCGGTGTTTATCAATAATTTTTTTTATTAAGTTTTGCATTGGCATCCTCAAAGATAGCCCACACCTTGTTTTTCCCTATTTATCTCTTCATTTTGGGTGGGTGTTCTTTCGGAACTTTACGGTAGTTTTAAAGAGTTAGAAATCTGGTATAAAAAAACAGTTCTAGTTGTGGTACTTATTTGAACCGATACAATTTATTAACGTTTTGGTGGATACATCATCTGGGATTACATCTTTAAAAACTAGTTTTTACTCTAAACGAAGCAGCTTTTGAACTATAGTTTTCATCGCTTTCTGGTGTGACTGTTGTGTAATCTACCGTTTTACTTTGCAATCGCAGCTGTCCTGGCTTCGAATCCGTCAAATTCCTCCTCATCCTCCTCCGCTGCATCTGATGATGACATAGCTCTGAGTAAGTCTTACTCGGTGGGTTTCTTGCTTGCAGTACCTACAAATGCATTAATTTCCCTTAACATTTGCATTATGCCATGTTGGATGTTATTTATGTATTCATTCACTAGTGTTTTTATGAAGTTAATTACGGATTCATTCGCTAATGTCTCTGTCAATCTTAGGTGGGAATACATTCACTAATGTATTTATTAATTTGTAGTAGTCTACTGATATGCCATTGCATAAAGAAGACAGTAAAAGACACACTAATGGGTAGAAGACTGGTGTTGGGAAGTACTTGAAGTACATATTCTGAGAATGTTTAAGAACTTGTACTTAATGTATTTTTTCTGGTACTTCTCGTAGAAAGCACAACTCCCAAGTTCAAAGTACATTCCCCAAATTTGGTCTTTTTAAATTTGTATTACAAAATTATGGTTTTTCAACGAATCAGTGCCTTCTAAGTTGATTGTGTTAAATAGTTTATCAGCGAGAGTAAAACAGCTTTGTGGCCACTTGACTTCATTTAATATTTGCCGTCATTTTCGAACATAACTGATGCACCCCAAATTACCCCTAAGGCAGTGCATACCAGATTAAAATAAAAAAAGAACATTGTATAGGGGAGTGAAATAGCATCATGAAAAATTATGTTAAAAAATATTTGTACTTCACTTTAAAAGTATATTGTACTTATAGTACTTTATTGCAAGTAAAATGTGTTCAGTGTACTTAATACTTTACTTGACGTACATAACCTGTCATTTACTTTGTACTTCAGGTGCTTTCTAGATGTACTCTACCCAACTCTGCAGAAGACATATCTCTAAAATGACATAATATGATCACTACTTGCATATGCATACAAGTAGAAGGCAGGGAAATAGGAAATGGCTTTGTACATGTCTGCAATAGTTGCTGTCCTAGTTTGCAAAGCGCATTGACATGCAGAGCCTATTGATAGAGAGTGTGAGCTACAGAGTGAGGCTAAAATCTCAGAAAAAGAATGAGTCTCAAAACCGCTGGGTGTCGACTAGTACCAACAACGAAGCTTTCCACTTTTTTAAAAAAGGGGGAATTATTTAGTTACAGATTTCGACGGACCAGGGGAGCCATGTGAGCCAGATCCAATCCCACCAAGTACGCCAAGCCAGTCCGACAGTCAGTTAAGTAGCCAAGACAGCCAGGAGCTTCCCCCAGTTGCAAGGAGCAGGAGGCTTAAGCGGCTACAGACATCCAGGCCGCGGACACTCCTAAACGCTTACCGGTCACAGAAGAACTTGAGAAGCTGCGAGATCTCAAGAGCAGAGCTCGTAAAGTATGCTTCACGTTTTCTTTCAAAGCAGGGCTTGGAGATGTTCAGGGTGGAGTTGTACCTGAACCCCCTCAGAGGCTACAGGAAAAAGTGGCCCAGTCACCTCACGGCTTGCGTCTCGAGCCTGTTTTTCCTCGGCCCAACAGCCTACATGAACCTGTCAAAGCTCTTGTCAATACCTCCCGTAAGGGTCCTGCGAGACAGCTTCCGCAGCATGGACCTTGAGCCAGGCGTGGTGCCCGAGATACTAGAAGCCTTGCAGAAAAAGATGGCCCACTGGTCTCTCGAAGACTGCACGTGCGTCTTGCATTTCGACGAAATACCGCTGACCGAGAGTCTGTGCTACGATTTCAAAAGAGACAAAGTGATTGGGTTTGAGGACATCGGCACCAAGAGATCGGACAAGGTCGCCAACACGGCTCTGGTCGTGACCATCTCGGGACTTTCGAAACGATGGACCCAGCCGATTGCCTTTGTACTCTCGCGGACGAAAATTGATGTGGCAGCACTGGAGAAACTGCTCCTTACCTTGATTGAAGAGCTCCAGCCTGCGGGGGTCTTGGTAAAAGCGGTGGTCTGTGACCAAGGTGGGTGCAACTGGGATCTCTCAAGGAAGCTGGGTGTGACGCTCAAAGAGCCGTTCTTCATTGTGAAGGGTGAAAGGGTATATTTCCTCTTTGATGTGCCGCACCTGCTGAGGTGCACGAGAAACAACCTCCGCAATGTCAGTGCTCTCCGCATCGGCGAACACACTGTGAGGTGGTCCCACATGCAAAGTCTGTACGAGCTTCCGCACCCCCTCAGAGGACGGCTTCTGCGGCGAATCACGGACCGTCACATCTACCAGAGCCTTCACGGGAACAAGGTTACGAAATTTGCAGCACAGGTCTTCAGTGGTACGATGTCCCTTGCCATCCTCGTTTTCGTGTCGCTCCTGCAGTTGGACCCGGATGCGGCGCAGACCGCAACGTTCTGTGACAGGATGGACCAACTGTTCGACGTCCTGAACAGCAAGACTGTCTCGCCTTCGAAGCCGGGCAGTTTCGGATTTGCATTGTCGGCTGATCCGGATCCGAAAAAGGCAAGGAAATGCCAGGATCAGCTGGACTTCCTCAAGTCTACGGCCTCCTGGATTTCACAGTGGAAGTTCGACAGCAAGCACCCACCCAACACCATCAGGGGCTGGCAGTTGACCATAACAGCCGTCCTCTGGCTATGGAACGACCTGTGTCAGAACTTCGGTTTTAAGCAGCTCTTCACCCGGCGTCTTAGTCTGGAGCGGTTGGGGGCCTTCCTTCGGAAATGTAGGCAGCAGCACTGGAGCAAAGACACGCCTACCGCCTCTCAGTTCATCGTTGCGTTCAAGAGCATTTTGGTAGATGAGCTCTTCGTCATTCCTGGTCGATCCGACGGCGAAGCCGACATTTCCGTCCTTCTGGCAGAGTTGAAGCGAGTGCCTGTGTCGTCTGCTGCACGCATGGACTCAGAAGAGCAGAGCGAGGATCCTCTGTACGACACTGGCATTACGACGGAGGTGCAGTCAGGCGATCATCACCAACTCGTTCAGGCTAACGTCAGATATGTGTTTGCGGGACGCATCGTTCACCTTTTCCAGAACAGGTTCCCGTGCGGAACGTGCTGCCCGAACCTCATGTCCAGGGACCACAAGTCAACGTCCGAGCACCGGTTACTCGAGTCCCTGAGTACTCAGATCTTCGGAGAACATTCTTCAGGCGTCACCGTCCCGGCGAGCAGCTGCTTCCAGTTTGTGGTAGGGTTGGAGGAGTACTTCGGAAAGTATGTTGCGATCGTCCTGGAACTTGAAAATGTCTCCAAGCAGCTTTGTACTCACCTCATGAGGGTCCCTGACAACCTATTTTGTTCTCCGGTATGTAAAGGAGTGTTTGTGGGCCTGTTCAGTCGCTTGAGGCTGCATTGGCACCTACGCTTGATGAATGCGATGCTCAGGGAGCTTCCTGCCTCAAGGGAGCGGCGGAATCCTAAGTAAGTCTGCAGGCGTGATGTGGGTGTGCCACGGTCCCTGTGTTAATGGGAGTCTTTCCATCAGTAGGCCTATTGCCAAAAATCTTTTGTGGATCTTTTTTCATGCGATATCCTTTTCTAGCTGTAAAGAACCCAAGTTTGCCATGAAAGTCATCTACATACTCGTTTTGTTGTTTGTACCTTCTATGTAAAGTTTTGTATATAAAAATGTGTGGAGATCTAGTTTGGTTGCCGTCTTGCTAGAAAAATAAGACACGGCAATGCCATTGTGTTCATGCTTTAGGTGTATATTGGGCTCTCATTCCACCACAGCTTTTCTGGTAATGTGGTGTGAATTCTGAATGCTTTTGGTGCAGATCTCTGGATTTGGCCTAGCAAACGAGTCTACCTGATTCTAGCCTTTTTTACCAAGCAGCCCCCCACCGACCCTGTTCCCTGAAACGGATTTAACTAAATTTTTTATACTATTGCATTGCATGAAGAACTGAACACCGTACACCTAGAGGATATGACATATCTGTAAATTGTGAAATTCGTCTATGACCGCAGCACTGCGCCAGCATGAGCCGTGTGTCCTGGCAGCACAGCACTGCTTTTCTGCTATTAATGGGCCATATTGGTTTCTTTAGTAGCCACCCATCAGGCATGCATCATATTTTGGATTTGCTCTAAATAGGGGTATTTTCGCGTGTATGGGGGAGAGAAAGCCGTGATGTCGCAAATCCTCGGAGATGACCGATCTTTCGAGAAAGTTCTGCATCCTTGCAGGAACGACACGACATGGTATTTACACCGTTTCCGAGAGGTCTTCAAAACAAAGTTCCAAGGTTACTGCACTGTGCTATGGTTAAAGGCCGACCAGCAAGCAGAAAGGAGGAAACTCGCCCTCAATTGCTCCGTTCTGCAGCAGGGAGTAGCTCAGAGACCCGCGCCTGTGGGGAGGAGACGCGCGCGAGAGGGAAGGGAGAGGAGGAAAACCGGTTTTCTGCCCGGCAGAAGACGATTCTATAGGCTGGCCTTTAATAAATAAGAAAAAAAAAGCATCAATACAAAGCACCAACAAGCTCAACTCTTAACCGTTACATCAATACAAACAACGATATGTGCATCGTACATCAACGCTTTTCGTTCATGTCCTTGATGTGGCCGTTGCTGTTCCGTCTTGCATCTTTTGTTGCCCGATTGTCACGACGTCACCAACGAGGTGTCCTTCGCTCCGGCATTTCCGCTGTCCTCTCATCCCTCTCGTGTCCCGATTCAGGCGGGCAGCTAGCAACCGCGATCTATCTATTCCCCTTTTGCTGATTTTGACCATCCATCCAATCCTTCGATGTCGGTTAGCTCTTCGGTTTCCCTCGCGGTTCAGTCGCGCGCTACGCCAGCCAGGACGGAAGGAAAGTTCCTCTCGGTTTAGGACACTTCTTTGTTTTTGTTTTATATTTTTCGTCCATTTTGTTTCTATTGTTTGCTCTACTTCGGATTTTGTATCGTTTCGTTCGAGCGATCCTGGCAACGAATGAAAGGACGATTAGGGTTGTCGGTCGTTTATCTTCTTGGTTAGCGGTGATCTGGGCGCCTGGGTATTCTTGCTTTCTTCTCGTTTGACATTTTTTGTCTGCTTTTTGTGTGTGTGTGTTATCGGTCCTCGGAAGAGGGAATACAACTCGGCTGCTTATTTTCAGTTTGTTCGAAGGGTTTGTCTTTGGGCGAGCCGTGCACAAACCGTTGTATGCTTCAAATGACAAAAAAAAATTTTTTTGTTTTTTTTCGTCAAGTTTTTGTGTACATTGCCCCTCCTTTATCTGAACGTCCTTTAATAATGTATTTATGAAAAACGGCAAATTATTTTTATGTGCATAACCATCGAAGGTACTTCGGTCTTTGAACCTCGCAGCCGGAATCGAAGCCCGTCGATCGCCATTGGCTCGCGCGTATCATTAGCCTCCGCATTGTAGTAATTTTCATCGCGGCTTCTTTCACCGGTATCTCTCGGTGGCCCGTCTTGAGTTCGCAGTTTCGGATGCAACGAAGAATGCTTCAGCTCGAGGCACACAGTCTTAGGAGGCCTTTTTTTTTTTTTTTTTTTTACAGCAGTCACGTAATTGTTTTGCCTGGTGACGTCATAGAAGTTTCACGCTGTCGCCGGTCGCGATCCTGGCGGTGTCGCGCAGCAGCAGTGTGCATGGATATGACAGACGCCTGTTCTGCTGCATGTCGCTCTCCAGCTTGGCAGCCCACGCTAGCTTTGGCAATCAGTAAGTCGGCGCAAAACGCCGTGACGAGAGCGACACTCCCGTCCTCTCGTGCTTTTCCGGAACTTCTGGCACCGACATCCGACAGCATGAAGGCCGGTTTTCACACATGCAGCGGAGCGCTACAAACAGCGCTGACCTCGCGCTAAGCGCGTGCTGACGGGAGCGTTCACCAGCTTTGTATCGCGCCGTCAAAACTGTTACTCATCGTGGCAAACGAAAAGTAGCTGACGGCAGGTGAGCAGCGCTATATCAGCGCTTCGCTGCATGTGAGACCCGGCCTTTACACTGCAGCTTTTGTTACGCAATTCGTTGCCCCTTCGGGACTATTTTCGATGCATTGGTGGAATAGGACGCTAAACACACCAGTAGGAGACAGAGGCTCCGGAAGCGGGGGACAGGGTGGGCTTGAGCCCCTCCTGTCCTTAAACTGTCGAGTCCCCATCATTTTTTTTTTTTTTTTTTTTTTTTTATAGTCTGGATGTTTGCGGGTTACCTGGTGTGGGCCTTCGGCCAATCTGCTGTACCCTCGTCTCTCCTGAGCCGAAATAAATGAAATTAAAATGAAATGACCCTCCTCCGCCAAGCCCAAAAAGCACCGGGGCGTCGGAGAGGCTTGCTTGAAAAGTCAAAACCAAAAGAAAATGACAGGCAGGAGTAGAACTGATGAGCCACTGACGACAAGTTTAGAGCGAGCAAAGCGTCGGCGAGCGTTTGTCTGCTTCCCCCGTGTGGAAGCAAGAAGCTGGCCCACGGGCAAAACAGGCTTAAGGGGGAAGGGGGGGAGTGCCGGGCGGTGAGCTTGAACGGGGATTTGGCTGTGCTTAGAAGAGGCGAAAGTCTACGAGCTCCCAAATTTGACAAGGCGCCTTCGATGGCGAAAGCTTTGCGCGCATGTGGCGCCGAGCCGCCAGGGTAATGAGGTGTGAGGTGACACATGTTTACAAACTCAGGATTAAGAAAAGCCGACAGGTAAGGGGAATTCGGTAGCTGGTTTGAAGCTCTGTGTTTGCGTAACTGAGAGGCTATTATTTCGGGAGGTCATTGTGATGTGTGTTAATCTCACATAAAACGCATCCATCGCTTTTACTCGGTCGTGTACTATTTCGGTGTATGCATGGAAATGACATTTTTCAGCCGCACTTAGCCGCTGCTGCGCAATGCCAAAATCTTAGCGTGTTGAGCCGACTCGATGCCCACGAGAAAGATAATTACTAATTTATATAAGCCAGACGAGGACGCAAAGAGTTAACAACTGTGGCCCACGAGTATATGATGATCGGCCTTTACAGTCACTATCCAAGTCTAGCGCTATCACAAGTCGTCTCTGCGCGGCGTTGATAAAAAATCTTATGTGCGTGCCACTGGGCAGTGGCTACGCGAGTTCATGATTTTCTAGTATTTTGTTCTTCGCCTCTATAACCTCAGTTCAGCATCCTACTAGAAAAATGCATTTGATGCGAAAATGAGTAATTAGTTAAATGGTTGGAATGACCCATTCTCTCGTAGCAATTAACCTTCAGATTCAAAAGCGCTGCACACGTCGCGCTGCAACTTAGTTTTTGTTTTGTAGAAGACGACCTTCCTTTGATTATTCTCTCCAAGCACTACGTGTTTCAACACAACTTACTAGGAAGGAATAGGAATGAAATAAGAGGCAATGAATATAAAAACCAGAACGTTTCACTGACGAGGAGGCAGGTCTCAAATAAACGTATTACGATGATGATGGTTACATAGAAAATCACCGCGAACAACCGAACAATTTAGCGAATTACTAAAATTGGAATTCAATTTAAACTTCACAATGCCTTGTACGCTGCGACACTGAGCATGGCGTTTCCCTTGCATGATTCTCCTATTGCGGTTTGGATTTCTTATATCTAATTGTTTATGTTCCTTGCACGTGACGTACGGCCAGTGGCGTCACTATAGGGTCAGCGGCACCCGGGGCGGTGGGTGGCCCGCGGCGACAACCCCCCCCCCCCCCTCCCTTCCCCCTCCACCGGCTTGTTGGCTTGTTTGGGGGGGGGGGGGGGGGGGGGGGGTGTCATGTTTTTGGCATCGTCATGTTTTTTTAATGAAACAGTTTTCTTGTTGAACAGTATATGTATCCACCCTGTTGAATAAACGGAGCAAGCATGTAGAATGTATCGAAACGCGTCAGCGTATCTTTTCCTTGGAAAGGTTAATTATAATTATCTGTACCACACCTTAACGAAACTAAGTACGATCGTTTTGGTAAGATAGGTCATTATTTAAGGTTTAGAATATGAGAGCAGGAACAGGATATAACCACGTTCACATAACTGGAGATAGTTATGTTCTGATCCGTCCGTTATCTGTTAACGCTTTACAGTCGCAATGAGTTCTCCTCCCGAAACCATAGTTAACCTAAAAGAATATGGCTGTACAATACTGCCTTTGACATTGTATACCAGTCACTTTTAACAGTTTGTCTGCGTTAATACATCATGGATCCCCGATCTCGATTCTCGATCATCGAGAATCCCTAAATGAAGGGACATTGTCATTTTTAGACAAAGCCAATTGGGCATAGGCACAGCTGCGGTCGGTATGTAAAAGTTGATATAGGAAAAAAACAAAGATAAACACATGGCGCCGCTGATTTCTGTGGTTATCCAATCGTTGTATGAGTCGTCAGTGGCAAGCTGTTATTTTACTGAACCATTGATTTACTTTGTTTTCCATGGATAAGTGCGTGAATACGTGAACGTGTTGCATTAATATGTTTTGATTAAAATATGGCAATCAATGTCAACCTGAAACAAACCCAACCTTGAGGATTTTGGAGATGTCGAGCCCCCCCTCCAAAGAAAGACTTCCGGAGCCTCTGGTAGGAGACGCGTTCGAGGCACCGTAGCTCAATATGTTCAGACATGGAAAGAAAAAATATTCTGCTCCGTAACAATGACGTAAGCACATGAAACGTCCTGCTCCATGTCAAAG